AGTCCAATCCAAAGTAGGACTTGGAGGCGACTGATTTTATTTCAGAACCATGAACCAAAAAAGCTGATTGTGAGCTCCTTTCCTCAGCACTATTGAGAAATTCAATCCAAGAAAATAAGTGGTGCGGTTTTGGGCAAAATTATAAAATTAAAAAAAAAAGAAAAAAGAAGAAAAAAGGAAAAAGAAGCGGCTGCTACGGAGTAACACAACATACATCTATACAATCCAAAGTTCCAAACCATTTAAGCAATATCACATCTTGAAAGGTACATTGACATAAAGTTCGGTGGTTGAAGTTTTCTCTAATTTAGTTTTGTTAGAAATGACAAGTAGTACTGTGAACTAAGATAATATTTTTGTCACAAAATATTATTTAAGAGAGAAATTCTCCCCAGTGAGACCCTGTAGACATGTAGATCAACGTCAAATGTCCTCTCAAATTTCCTCACACAAAAATGTTGCCCTAAAAAAAAAGTCATACATTACACAACATTAAAAATACATAAATAGACTAATGGAGCGTAGATTAGATTGCAAATTGTTGAACAATTACTGTACATAATATATACAAATCAATCTATTATCTTAGATGTCTCCATTAGCACGTACAGGGGAAACACGGTCTCTAAAAACAAAAGAAACCACCATGTTATCCTCAACAACCTGTCAATATTTTATTATTCTTTTTATTCGTATACACTGAATTTGAGTTGTCATGTACTTTCCAAATACTGTTAGAGTACATCCTCTGCTTTTATAACGTAGATTTCTTCTTTTATTTATGTGAAAGGATAGGGACACACCCCTAATCACAACTCTAATCGCATCCCATCTCTCATTTACTACGATCGCACCCCTCTCTCTCATTTGTTACAGTGCACCGGGCCTCACATGAGATTTTACTATTTAAAATCTCATGTAGGGCCTGATGTACTGTAGCAAATGAGAGAGGGAGTGTGATTGGAGTTGTGGTTGAGGGTGTGCTCTTAGTGCTACCCTTTATTTATTTATTTTTATGCAGAGTGTGTTGTCGGTGTGATTACCAATCACAAAGCAACAACTAAAGAGATTATTATAAGATGGCTAGTTAATTATACTAGTAACAATTGATTTTTTGTGCCTTAGATTGAAGACTAGAGACAAGGCTAGCTTTTTTTGCTTTGCTTAATTATTTACCAACGTCCAGGCTCTAGTTTAATCCCCTTTTTCTAGATTCTTTTGATTTTAAAAGATGCATTATCATAGTTTTTAATTTCTAATATCAAACAAGAAAAAGAGGGGGGGGGGGGGGGGGT